CCAAACTCATATGTATTCATGAAACTTATAAATTAAAAAAATAAATAGTTGCTATAAGCTAGTTTATAATGCTTACCAAACAACTCTTTGAATACAATCGAGTTTCCACAAAATTCAGATGAGATCTTTTTGAGAGATACTGGATTTACTTTTCTAATGCCAATAGAACTCATCAAATGATTTATCCTCCGAAATCTTATGTCCTCTTTAGGTCAATTGCACCATATTATTGCCCATGATTTTTTATTTTTTTTTTATAGTAGTTCGAACATAGTCAAGTGATCCGAGAATCCTAGCTCGAACACTTCTTAAGCTCGCCATGTCAGTAAACAACTTCAATAATGACCTGCCGAGTTACTTTCCAAATCGACCTCTCCACTTTAGAACCCTAATTGAGTTAGTAGTCCAACTGGCTCCCGAACCGAGTTGACTCCCTCCGTTTCAAATTATAAGTCGCTTTGACTTTTTCGGTACATCCACTTTTCTATGTATCTAGATAATAATATGTCTAGATACATAGTAAAATGGATGAATCAAAAAAGTCAAAACGACTTATAATTTGAAACGGAGGGAGTAGTTAGGTAGTACACTCATGTTTAAAGCATAATCGTATCTAGTTGATTATATTATAAAATCAAGAAAAATTATGTTAAAAGTGTTGTTACATTAAGTTAATAAAAAAAATATATATAATGGTGAGGAAAATAGTACTGAGCATCATCATTTAAGAAATACTGAATCATTAGCTGCAAACTATCTCATTTGTATCGTGGGTATGCAGTATTGCAATGAGCCGAGCCCAGTGCAAAACCCATACATAACAACTCTGTAAATGGGCAGCAATGGATCCAATAAGCAAATAAAATGGTCCATGAGAAAAGTCCAGTCCAGGCCCAAGCCTGGAGATATAGTGGCACAGATTTGATTTCTCCAATTAAGTGGGCCCATTATATGGCACAAATTAGAGGGGAAAAAAAAATGAGTCCTTAATGAGAATGTATTTGAAATGTGTATAGATTCCAATAGAAGAAACATAGTACCAAGAATAAACTTAGTCATTCTCCACTTATTTCACACCATGTGGACTGTGTTACAATACCTCTCACTATCTTGCAGCTCTTCAATATTCCATATATATTACTTACATTTTTTTTTTAACAAAAAAAGGAAAAGAAAAACACCCACAAGTACACAAAGTACCTAATACAAATTCTTGTTTGAGATAACTCAACCATTAGGCGAGTCGACCCGTCATATTATGTGCACATAAATACATACTTATACTATCAAGTGTCATACTTCTGTGCATGTTATACGTATATTTGTTGAAACAAAAAAATATCGTTCTAATGGGTCTCATAGTTAGGCCGGCCTACACAAGAGCTACTGAATTCCCAGTTCCGAGAGCTCGTTCTAATTGGCTTATGAGCTCTCGTGGAAGCTCAACGCCCTCGACAAGGCTGCCGGATTAGCTTGCAACACCGTTGAAGCTTCCGAGACATGGGTCTTCCCATCCCCTTTGGGCTCCGGCCCAAACGCCTTGAAAAGACCGCCTTTGCCCGAGTCGGCCCCACCCTCGTTTTTCTTTATACCCAAAGTCGCCCAAATCGAGCTCTTGGACGCCTCTCGCGGGTCGTCGATCCTCAGAGTCTTCGGGACCCACAAACATTTCTCGGGATCACTCTCCTTCTCCTTCTCCTTTCCCACTTCAATCTCCCGCGAATGCTTCCCGAGAGCCGCTAATGAGCCCGGCCCTAAAACCGTGGGGCCCGTCCTAGGCAGGCCCATCGCTGGCACAACGCACGGCACGCTCCACCCAAAGTGGTAGAACGGTGGGCCCCACTGGACGGGCCCCCGGTAGGCCCATCGCGTGGGCCCAGGCCCGACCCGACCCGTTTGATCGGCGTTGCGGAGGGCCGACGCAATGGAGTCGCGTAGGGGCGAGTCCGAGCCCCCGAAAGCGAGGACGGTGGGACCCGGTCGGGCCTCGGGGGGGACCACCGCCAGGTGGCGGAGCTGGGTGAAATTAGAGGAGGAGGAGCACTTGTTCTTACGGCGCCCTGCGCCCACGGGAACGTTTCTCATGGTGCCACCAGCTGTCCAGTAGCGCTGGCAGTTCCTACACAGATGGCGCGGCTGGTTCACGTTGTAGTTGTTGAAGTAACAGAATTTGGTGTCCGTGCTGTTGCACCGAGGGCACGGGAGGATCTTGTCGGGCTTTTTCAAGGCCTTCTCGTTCGGGCCACCTTCCGTATCGGGATTGTCTTGCTGGGTATTTGGGGCGGGTTTGTTCGGGTCGGAGTTGGTTGGATATTCAGGCTTTTCCGATTTTTGAGGGCCCAATGGATTTTCATCTTCGTCTTTTGAATGATGTTTCTTGCAATTCGACGGGATCTGCACGCGACAAATATAGAGTGCTCGTTAGAACTGAAATCGAAAAGGTGAAGACTTTAGCGCATTTGAGTAACGAAAAACATCAAATTGATTGCACATAAACCGAGCATTTATAAGTAGCTGAAAATGAAGTTTCATAAACAAATCACTTCACATGAGAAGATTGTAAATCCAGAGTTCAACAAGAACCTTTCTAAACTCATATCCTATTTGTATATGCCTAAAATTCTGATTTTTTTGGACTCAAACTCGTGTGGATTAGTTCAGCAAAGTGTGATCTATGCTTGATTTAATATTTTTGGAAGTAGATTGGTTATCTTATTTCCACTCATCTGAGCAGCTCAAGATTAGATGTCCTTAATGAATATTGTGAACTTGCTTAAAACAAATTCAAAGAAGCAGTTAATTGCACAGACAAATAACATGCCTTTAGTTCTTTTCCATATAAAAAAACACAATCCTTAGCAACACACACACACTCACACACACACAAAAAAGAGCTTCATATCTCACTGCACAGTGCACCCTATAAACATTAAATCAAACTACAAAACCCACACAAATTTTGTAATAACAACAAAAACCAAGAAAGACCCATCAAAATTCAAATCATTTCGATTCAAGGGATGTTCACAAAATTGCAAATTCAACTCATTTCAAATCCCTAACCTTGACTGTATCTTGCTCCTCTGCATCCATACTCATAAAGTTGCAGTCTTCAGCCATGGAATCAGACGAACACGGTAGATCCTGGCTCGAGCCGTCCCCTACAGAAGGCTCAAAACACACAGCCGGGCCGGACTCTCCGTCTTCATCCGCCGCCGCCGCTGGATTTTCCGGCAGCTCAATAGTTTTGCCAAAAAGCTTTATCTTGGGGTCTTTCGACTCAGCCATGCTGACCCTTTTATCAATCCTGGCTTATCCAGGCTAGCAAACAAAATAACAGCAATAAATAAAGAAAAAAATGGGGAAAAAAGAGGAGCAGATAACAAGCCGCCCTTTGTGTGTGTGTGTGTGTGTGTCTGTTGGGATTTGGGAGATCTGACAATCTACACGCACTGAGTGTGTGACTGCGTGTTTTTTTCTTGGTTTTTTTTTTTTT